TACCATGCCGTATATGGATTCCAGACGTTGCGCGCACTATTTCCGTTTATAAATACGCGCACATGAAAGGTACCGCGCGGCTGACTAAGAGCGCCCGGTGGCAAGTTATATTGTTTTCTTTCAAGATGCCGCCAAAGGACATCTCAAAAGTGCCGCCGCCCCAAGTGCTGTCACTGAAGAATTTAAACAATTTAAATCGCTCTTCGTACGATAAAATTTCATATATAAATATTAATTAAAACAATTGAAATAAAACCCCGTCTTAGCTGGAAAATAAAGTCGTGGTGCCGTCCGGACGTTGTCCGGATGATATTTACCTTCTTCCTGTTAAGTTAAGACGCGTCATTCGGGGTAACGTCCGGACAATATCGAGGTAAATCTCACCCTAGTCGGGCCAGGGTGATATGGAGGTGTTGTCCGTCCGTCGTCCGGATGACATCCTGATAAACGGCCTATTAAGACGCGCGCGAACTCTACCCAGGTAAATTACGTCATCGCCGTGAAAAAATGTATACATGTACACAGCGCGCGCCAGCTGATCGCGATGAGACAGGTGCGGTTGTTATGGTAACCTACCCGGGTGAGGTTTTTGCGGATGGCTGATTAAGACGGTGTCCTAAAGCTTACCCCGTGTTTTACGATCAGACCCCCACTGATTCTCATCCACATGTCGCTCGGGTGAGATCGAAAAAGTTCTATTAAGAATCGTTGAGAGTTCTTTTCTATTCTTTGACCGGTTTCAATTTCATTTCTTCAGATATATAATAATATACAGCCAACAAAAATGCTCACTAGAACTTATGGATGGTAGACGAAATAGACGTTAGACAAACTGGGAATTAGACTAACTGGTTACTAGACTAAATGAACAATAGACCAAATGGCCATTAGCCTAAATGGTCATTAGACCAAATGATGAGCAGCGAAATGATCATTAGACAATGTGGGTAGTTGACGTGCAGGGTGTAGACCATATGGGAATATACTGATTGGTTAGTAAACCAAACGGCGATCACCTGCTTACCTACACTTGAACGGTCGGATGCCCTATTTCTATGCAGTTTCCTTTCATCCGTATTAATTTCATAATTTGTTATATATTTCTTCGCTTAACAAAAAATATTGTAATATTAAGAGATTTCAATTCATAATGTTATTACAATTATGATTTCCTTGCGATTTTCTTGTTTAGCTAACGCATTATCATGTGTTTTTATTTATTTGCTTATAATTTTGAGATTGCAATTCATGATGCGATTATGATTTTGTTTTGGATATGTTGCGCTTTATAAATATTGTTATTATTATTATTATTTTCACATATCCATCCTCCCGAGCGAAATATCTAGATCACGTTGTCCATTTAATATAGGTTTTAATTGTTCTTTGGAGAAGAAAAAATAGATCTTATATTTCCTGATTGCATGCCATCGTTCTTTTAGAGGTGGGGCACAATGACATGGAAAGTGCACTTGAGTGAAGTATCGCCATTATATATTCCGAAGGATACCGGGTTTGGTTTTTACATCAGTCAACCAAAAGTGCAGTTACCTTTCTAGGATATTTGTGTTTTCATCATTTATCTTCTATGAAATGATTTTCTAAATGGTAATCATGAACTTAAAACAAATCTGAAAGAAGTAAACATTAATTTGGTATTTTTTATCCTCCCATGGAATGAGCTAGCATGTCAGCTTCTGAATGCTTTTTGGCAATTTAAGGATACAAAAAATACAAAAATTGCCTAATAAGAAAAGCCTATAGAAAAATGAAACAGTGAAGATATTAAGTGTGATGGCGATGGTGATCATAATGATAATATAATTAGTGATTATAATGATGATGATGATTCACAGCTTTTGTATGGCGCGATATATCTGTTAAAACAAACATTCAAAGGCGCGAGCTCCTCCAATAGAGTTAGCATTTAAATGTCTGGAGGAAGATAATAGTCTTGAGGGAAGCTTTATAGTGGTCCAGGTTGTCAATTTCGAGAATAAATGATGGGAGGGAGTTCCACATGCGAGGATCAATATAGAAAAATGCCCGGTCTCCATATCCTTTGATAATGATGACAATGATGATGATACTAATAGTGTTAATATCTAATCATCATAATGATAATAATGATAAAACCGATAATAGATAACGATAAGAATAATAATACCAAGCATGAAGGAGCAACGTCAAGCGTTTCCCAATTCATTGAACTCCGCAAGAGCAAGAGCGCCATCTGCGGCCGTTCTATTCCTTTGTCGTTTTGCAACAGTGCATACTTTTATTTGTCACATACTTAATTTATTGAATATAACAACATAAAACAGAAACATCTAAACCTAGACTACTGCCTGCATAAACAGGACAGTACAAGAAAAATATTATATCCATTACATTAAAAAATTATCCCCACCCCCGAAAAAAAAAGGATATAGACCGGGGTCTACATAAAATGGAAAAAATACAACAAACGAGACATATGGAATCGCTGCGTAATTTGGTCCCTTGAAACATTGACTCGAACATCATGCATTATGATATTGTTTAACTATTATGAACAGAAATTATATAGCTCGAGTACTCATAATACAAGAAGGAGGACTTCCGTCATGTATACAAATCAGTGAATAACGATAAGATTTCTTACATTTGAAGGTAATCAGTGCTACCTGTGTCCTATCTAGAAGAAAAAAGAAAGAAAGAAAGATGGTATAGATAAAAAAAACATTGAATCTTAAATCTATGGAGAGGAAAATAAACAACTCGCAATATATTTCAAAAAAACATGTATGAAATAAACATAGATTATCGATACATTTGGTTCGTAATGGCACAGATTATAAACAGTAATCGTATTTCTTTATTATCATCGTGATAATATAAAAGGTGTTCGATACACGTTGGTGCACATACCAAGGTGTTATGAGGATAATAGATCCTTGCACATAATGACTCTACACTCTTTAGTCCCCTTGAATTATTATTACACTGAACAGACTATAAGAGGAGGAGATTTTGTTACCCCCTATTATATGTTATTAGTCGACTTTTGAATAGATAATCCCAAATTTTGATGGGAATATATTAAACAGGTGTCTCCGTCTCAATAACACACAATTATTGCTTGGCGCATTATGCTCAAATTGAAAATGAAAGACGTGCCTTTTCAGAATGGGGATAATAATAACATTACTGTAGTCTGCACAGTAACCTTTAAAGTCCGGATAATCTTCAACAAAACACAAGCATTCTTCAACTAATTGCCCCGTGATCTTTTGACAATTTTCCATGTCCTCTCTGTTATCTCCAGTTTTGTGATGCAAATGACCAAAATGACAATAATCCAAGCTTATTGTGTATTTAAAGCTATATTTTCCTTGTCATTTTCGCCCAACACTGAAACCTTCATTGTCTGTTAAATAGGGCTGGGTTTTTTCTTAACTCGTGGATTTTTCCAAACAATAAAGATAATGGCTGGGATATGAATAGGATGGGTCAACTTTTAGAGATAGAAAGAGAGAGAGAAAAAATACTGAATGGCTCCACCAGATGACATCACTTTGTAATATAATAGTCATGAAGATTTATTCTTCTACTTGGGGGCAATGTTCATTGGTATTTTGTTTACGAACATGATAATTATGTGATGCTTTATACGATTTTCAATTGTTTGTGTGTTTTATTTACTCTATTTTACCTTGCATGTGTTTACTTTTATTTCATGGTGAGTATTAAGAAAACAATGCCCGTTTTAACAAAACATATAGGAGTTGCGGAATAGGCCCATTCGTCGATGAGGATTCCATTCCTATTTTACATGATATATGTTTTCGTTAAACAATTTGTAGTAATATACATTCAGATTAAAATTCGTATCTTTTAATCCAAATTGCAGCAAACTTTATCAAGTTTTATCTCTTGGTCCGTTTCTGTCCGTCTTTCCTATCTGTCCATCTTTTTCTCTTACCTTCACATTTTTCTTCGTAGTGTTGTTATTTAACAGCTTTAGTTTTCGAGTTGTATCAATTGTTTTTGTTCCAAGAAAGAGAAGAAAATTACTCTCTTTACATTCTACTTCTATTCTCTTTCAATCTGAATGTTTGAAATGTTATAGGAGTCAGTGGCATCCTTCATTTTGAAAATTCTCTGCAATTGAGAAAAGAAAAGATGTAGATGATTTCAAAACCTTTTTTTAATGGAGAGTTATGGCAGTTGTTATACAACCTAAGAAAGTAAAGATAATTATGATGTGATCCTACTATCATTTGGATGTAGACAACTTTTAGTTTATAAGCCATTTACCTGTAATTTGGTATTTTTATGTTTGACAGGAGTTGCACTACTGTATAAGGAAACTTAGAAGTGAGTCATGAGGCAGCAAGTGCTTATTTATACCGAAAACATCTGTTGAATAGTTTATAGGTTTGTATGTCTGTCAGATTGTTTGTTTGCATGACTTTTCACTTTATTTCTTTTTTCTTTTTTCTTTTTACCCCAACTTTCAACAACAACAAAATCATATACAGTCTTGTACACAAAACATATATCCCTGTAGAGTATCTTGCCATTGTAAACTGGGATCAAATCAATCAGCATTTTTTAAACACTTTTTTAAAACACTTTTTAGTTTTTATCAATAAATCCACCAAGTTGATTTTAAATGCTGACCATTATGCCTTTATGGGCTTTTGAACATTGGAAATGGAGGGGATAATAGCCCATATTTTTAAGTATGTCAGCGATTCCGACAGTCTCGCCCTAGTAGTCCGGTGAGTGATTTCAGCTAAGTGGTCTGTGGTTTTTTCGGCAGGAAAATGAGCACCACCCCAGCACCCACCCAATCAAACCACCTTTTCCCCGTCGCTTTTTTTCTCTCTCCGAGCAGGGCCCGATGGTCGCACACGGCTTTGCGGCAGCGGCTCGCCTCACCCCCAAACCTATTACCCGTGTCACCAAATCATTCGTATAAGGGTGCCTAACTGCGACTGGCATTGTGACGTCATCGATAAGCACTTTGCTTGAGCGGTTCTACCAATCGAGGAAGAGGGTGAGAGGGGGTTAGGCGGAGTGCGAAAGGCGACAGGGGATGACACCAGAATATTTTTTTGATAGTCCACGGCATGTCCAGCTAACAGGTTATCCTTTTTCCCCTCGAAGCTTGATCTCATGCTAGTGATGTATTATTAGCTAAGCTATAAGCTTACATGCAAACAAGTGATTTGACTTTATTTCGGTTATTCTCTCTTTCGCTTCAGGACAACATCGAGAGCACTTCGAACCCAGAGATCAAGCTTTCGCCGCTGTCTACAGTAGTAGTAATGTCACCGTATAGATTTTATTTTGGTTACACACGTTTGTTCTGACTGATCATTATTTTGTGTAGCTTTCTCCCCTCTACCTGGTAATTCGCCACCACCGGTAGCTGCTTGTCTTCTAACCCGTTGCTATCCCGCTTGATCCTTTGCGGTGATCCGCTAGTTGAGCCCAAGGATTGTCACCTCAGCCCTTCAACCCCCGCCGCCGTCGACCAGTCGATCGTCCACGGCGCAATAACGACGAAACTTCCTCGAATTCTGCAACCTTGCTGGCGGTAGGGAACTCTATCCGACTGGATTTAGCCGTCGCACGCCGGTAGGCTCGGCCTCTAAATCCCCCTCATTCAGTCAACCCAGCTCCAGCGAACTTGAAAATCCCCCAACTCGCGAATATTTATCCCAAATTTCCCGTCTTCATTGCTAGCCAGCTACCTCGAGAACTTTTTTTATTTTCTATAATTACGAACGAAAATTAATCAGAGACGATGAATCAACTACACCATGGACCGTTGTCAACATTAGAAGATTTGGTCGCCAGCGAATCGGCACGCGTGTCGGCTGGTATCGGAAGCGTAGCGGCCCAGCGCCCCATCGACAGTGCCCCTCAGTCACGCAGCAGCCACCATGTACACTCGCCAACGATAGACCACAACCAAGACAAACCAGGTAAAGACTATGATTTTATTAATTAATTTCTCTCTTTTCTTGCCATTTCATAGATAAATGATTTTTGTTCATCATTGAGACAGCTCATTTTGATTTCGATGCAAGGTGATTGATAAAGTCATAAAGAAATCCGAGCAAATGTTAGGCCTTATAGGCCTAACTTTATTTTCTGATGAATAATATAAAACAGAAAATTTCCAATCTTTTATTTACCTCATCTTTGCAGGTTGTTGCAATTATCACCTGTCCCAGCCTGTCAGTCCTTAAAACATAAAGCCTAAAATACAATGATAACATTAAATATGCAGAGTAATATGATATTTCCGGAGGTGGAAATCCCTCATAGACTTCAATTTTACCTTGCAAATCCCCTCAAAATTGTCATTTCATTTGAAAAAACAGGAACTTATAAAAAGGGAAGTAATTCCACCAAAGCAATAAGGGGAAAAGTTATCTTTAACTGATAATCCGCCCATCGTTTGTTTGTATTACGTGGGGGACATAACGAGTTTATCGACTTTCGTCGAATGCATGTCATGTCAGTTGCTATCTGGCTGTCAATCGCAGTTAGTTTATCAGAATCGTACGTTGGTTGCTGTTTTTTGTTGTTCGTTCATTTTGTTTCTTATAATAGAAAAGTTTAGCGGACTTAAAAACAGGTGTGAGTTGTATCCGTAAGTGGTCATATTGGTTATCATGCATTCCCGTCATACAAGACACACATGTTCAGAGCGTGCTTTAAACGTCAGAGAATTTTGCACAAAAAGCAACTTTGACGAATGTCAAAAGTGTCCCTATTAAATGACACATAAAATGCATGAAACATTTTACTTGAAAAAGATTATTATAAAAAAAAAATGTAAAATGCAATGCATATTCCTTGCTAATCTGTTTGAAAAAATAATTGAAAAACGAGTCGTTAATATGGTAAATTATGATTTTTATACAGAAATAGACATGTTTTAAAATCTAAGAATCATATGTATTTTTAACTATTACTAATCATCAACATTGATTTGGTATCGATGGACCCAGCCCACCCCTAGTTTGGTTTTGTTTTTACCCCCATCCGATAACCGACCTCTAACAAAGTAGGTATTCTTAAAGAAAACTTGACATAAGGGGATAAAACTATCAAAAAATCTAAAATGCAACTTACTTTTTTTTTTACATTTTATACTTATACGAGTAGTTATTAATTAAATGTCGTCCTTGCATGAAGTTGTCCTCGAAAAGTCCAATCTTGTTTTGCAAACAACACCATAAGAGCAGTTAAACAAACATGAAACCAACGATCACTTTACTACAACAACATTAAGCAAATCAACGTGAATATTACAGACAATTTGTATTTTGTATGTGTATTCAGTTAGACTTTCAATAAAACAGGAACAAATAAAACAAGAGTATAAGAATAAGATGTTCATTGAAAAAAAGTTTAGCAACAAAAAAAATACATTGGCAAAATATCTGTGGATGTAAAAATTATATGAAATATTGATACAAACACAGTTATGATAACAAATTTGATAGGATGCAATCATAGTATTGATGACAGTTTTATGCCGTTCATCTTAATTTTTGTTTATTATTTTGTTTATATTTATTTGTTATGCCCAAGTTAGTGGCGAAATGAATTTATCTTGATGTCACTTTACACTGTGAACGGATAAAGGTTTGTTTTGTTGTATCAGTGAATTATGCTATTGGCATGGACAAACATTACAAGTGATGAAACCTGTCGATCAATACACGGCTCAGCTCAGCTCAGCATAACGGGTGCATTAGTATAGATGAAGACGTTAAAGTGAACGGGTGGGGCAACGTTGACGAAGACTGGTCAAAATAAATGGAGTCTTGTTATTTATAGCTTGTCTCATTTTTAAAGTTTATTTATTGTAACGGTTTGAATATGTCGTCAGGTTTGGCACAGCTACATATCAGCTCTACACTGATAGCTTTGCTAAGCCTTTATACAATTAAGCCAAAAGGGACAAAATGTTGGGTAATGTATTCGACCAACTTTTAGGCAACTACTAGCTTATCTTTGGCGATTAATGTTGAGTTTAAGTTCAGGAAGTTTACGATTGGACAACAACTTATCGAAGTTGGGCGTAAGGTATCTAAAAGATGGTCGAAAACAAAAAATGATGGCCCTACTGTTTGGTCAATTTTTAAGTGTATTATTTGTGAGTCAGATAGCTGAACATGACATGTTTTGCAAGTCGTTTAAACGTGAAATAGCGAAAGAAAATAATTGATCATGGCTAAAGTTAAATATTTATCGTAATGACGGTTATCAGGAAATACACCGCAATGCATTAATTACTCCTTCTTCCCAGCTCGTGTGCTGAACAATTTTGGGAAGATTTTTATCATATATTTCAGGGTATTTGGTTCAATATATAAAACTAAGGAACATTTTATGACACCATCAATACTTGAAAAGTCTACGATGTGACTTTTTGGAAAGAAAATGAATTTGTGGCAATTCACATCTATCTATTATGCCATGACATTTTGTATTCTTCAAAAGAAATGTCAATGGGTGAGCGTATTATTTCGAAATTCGTCTATTATATTGTTTCCTTATTAGAGACGGGTTAAGTGTATTAGTTTGACCCTCGTAACCTAACGAACACAACCGTAAACAATTGTATTTATATAATTCACTACGGTGTAATTATTGATGCCAACGTTGAAATGTCTAATGAACCAAATCGATGGCGGACAAGTGTGTACAACAACCATCATCACACCTCTACTATTTGCGTAATAGACTATATTTGTGGAGCAACATGGCTTCAGCTAGACTCGTCATGACATATTAAAAAGTCCGAATAAACTGCCCATCGATAATCAATAAGTACGAGGTGGGGGACACCATATATTTTCGTTCCGCCTAAATGCACCGAAACGACATGATGGCCGACCAAACATGAGTCCCATGGGAGTGCCATTACACACAAAAGTATAACTGGTCAGCGGGGTTGTGACCAAAAATAACCAGCGCAAAATAGGCCATTTTCGTAATGTAACCAAATTGCATACGTCTCTTTAAAGCTTATCTGCCGTAGTTTATAGGAGGGATTAGACTGCCCTGCAAGGTCACTGGACAGGTGGTTATCTCATCAACTCAGCTCTCAGTTAACATAAGAAAGAGAGGATCATGGGGGGCAATGGTCACCGATTAGGCATCGTTTGTTATGTAGAGGGCGCAAGTAGCTGCAAGTAGTGCAGTGGGCCTTTAACGAATAATAGTAGGCCTATTTCAAAGTATGGCATATATTAGTTGTTGTTAGGTAGGACATACATCACGGATTGCCCATGTAATTTGCATTCTGACTATCAAAATGCAATTATTCGCAACAGGTGAATGAAATAATTCGTATCAAGGCATTTCACAAAGATACATTTGGTAACATTACGAAAATAGTCTGTTGTAGAACATGTACAGACAAAAAAAGACTAAGAAATAAGAAAACTCGGATTTCGAGAACTCCTTGAAAAGTAAGAAAGTAATGCGTCTTGCTAGTTATCCGTCATTTATACATTGTTTAGATATTCTAAGATATAGATATATTTTCCTCGTTTTTACTTGTATTAAATATAAATACAAAATCCCTGGTTTTGTTTTGTTTTTCAAAGTAAAATCCCATTCTTAATAGACAACTACTATAGCAGAATATAGATATACATTCTCTCTCTTTTTTTCGTAAATCTAATTAGCATTTGGCAAAGTTTGTGACTCAAAGTAACTGTTGTGCCTTCTTATGTCAATGGATAAAACTAAATTATAATTGTAGAATCACATTTGAACCACTGCAGCGGTTGAAATGAACTCTTAGCCTCTAACTAGGGATTTACATTTTCAAGGAAGTATGGATTCGGGGGATTTCTGCCCGGGCAACGCGAGGCCAGAATATTTAGGTCAAAATATTAAACAAAAAGTGAAATATCCCTTCTTCCCTAAAAATAGTCCCTCCCTCTCTATAGTTCTCCATCCCCCAACCCTTCTCTCTCTCTCTCTCTCTCTCTCTCTCTCTCACTCTCTCTCTCTGCTCTCTGCTTCTCTCAGCTCTCTCGTGATGAAGTATCATTTCTTTCGCATTTCCTATCTCATTTATGTAAAATTATCCAATTCAAACTCCATATTTGCGTCCTTCTCCCCGCCCCTTCGTTTCCAGCTTTATATCTGTCCTCTGTTATGAATCACAACCATCGTGACCACAGAAGCATCGCTGACAAAACAATATCATCACGATGTCCTCTCTCTCTCTCTCTCTCTGTGCAATCATATCTATTATTTTTGTTTCAATAACTATCCAAACTAGGGCATTAATCTCTGCAGACTGCTTCTATAACCCTGTCCAATGGCTTAGCCGTTTTTAATGACGGTTTGGGATATATTTGGCAAGAGAAAAATACTGATTGAAAACTCCACCATTAATCATCCCCAGACCAGATTCTGCTGTTTAAGGTCAACGTACAATTTTGTGAAGCAGAGCTCCCAATGCAATGATGACTAAATTTCTAAAAAAAAAAAAAAGTAGTGGGGGGGGGGGGTCTTGTGTCAATAATTAGAAAGGTAAAGTTGGTTATAAAATTCCAAAAGAAACAATATCAATAAAGAAGCAATAAGAAAGGTCAGACAAAAAGGAGATATATTGATTTTTTATTGATCTGTTTGTTATTATCACTATTATTTGTTTATTCTAATCATAAGCCCCCCCCCCCTTCCCCCGTTAAACCATTGTTATATTATACGTTATACTCATGGCAGTATGAAACACTTTTTTGTTATTGTTGGGAAAGCGATTATTTTTGTAATTTGATTAGTATTTCATTATAAGTTTGGACAATTGTGTAGAGATAACCTTGAAATTAATTTGTGGAATTAACATTTTGAATCTAATTAGAAATGAAACCCATTCATGCAGCGAACATGAGTATATACAAATTGCAGTCAAACGCTAATTATATTAATGTTACGAAATCAT